TTGAGCATTTGTTCACGTGTCTGTTGGTCACTCGTATATCTTCCTTTGAGAAATGCCTATTCAGCTCCTTTGCCCATTTTTTTAATTTAACTCTGTTAATTGTTTCTTTTGCTGTGCAGAAGCTTTTTAGTTTAATATAATCCCATTTGTTTATTTTTCCTTTGGTTGCCCGTGCTTTTGGGGTCGTATTCATGAAGTCTGTGTCCAGTCCTATTTCCTGAAGTGTTTCTCCTACGTTTTCTTTAAGAAGTTTTATTGTTTCAGGGTGTATATTTAAATCCTTAATCCATTTTGAGTTGATTTTGGTATATGGTGAGAGATATGGGTCTAGTTTCATTCTCCTGCATATAGATATCCAGTTTTCCCAGCACCATTTGCTGAAGAGGCAGTCTCTTCTCCAGTGTGTAGACTTGGTGCCTTTGTCAAAGATCAGATGACTGTAGGTGTATGGGTTAATTTCTGGATTCTCTGTTCTATTCCATTAATCTGTGTGTCTGTTTTAATGCCAGTAACGTGCTGTTTGGGTTATTATAGCTTTGTAGTATGTTTATAGTCAGGTAGTGTTATGCCTCCAGCTTTTTTTGTTGTTGTTGTTGCTCAGAATTGCTTTGGCTAATAGTGAACATGCAGAAAAAGAAATCAAGAAAGCTAGCCCATTTACAATAGCCACCAAAAAAATAAAATACTTAGGAATAAAGTTAACCAAGGATGTGAAAAATCTCTATAATGAGAACTACAAACCACTATTGAGAGAAATTAAAGAGGACACAGGAAGATGGAAAGATAGCCCATGGTCTTGGATTGGAAGAATTAACATTGTGCAAATGTTCATACTGCCCAAAGTGATCTAAAGATTCATTGCAATCCCCATGAAAATTCCAATGACATTTTTCTCTGAAATGGAAAAAACTATCCTAACATTTATATGGGCAGGATTTTCTTTGTTTACCCTTTTCAGCATCTTGGTCTCTCAAACCTTGGCTTCCTTGGCAGCCCCAAGCTCTCAGTCTTTGTGCTCCTAGCCTGGTAGAATACTGCAGGTCTCAGGCTGCTCTATTCCACTCTGCCTCTATTCCACTCTACTAGGAATAGCGAATGCCTTTTTTGTGTGTGCAAAGTAAGTAAATACACAATACATACAAAAAGATAAAGACTTATTTTCACTTCTTTCTTACACAGAAGGAAGCATACTACCTATATCCTTATGTACCTTGCTGTTTTCAGTTAATTTATCTTGTAAATCCCTCCATATACATTTTGTAGAGCTCTTCCTGGTTTTTTGTTTTGTTTTGCTTTTGTTTATGGTGGCATAATACTCCATTGCTTAGATGGAGTACAGATATTTTTAAATTGCTTTTTTAAAAAAATAAAAATAAAACAAAATTGCTTTTTTAATGAGTAATTTGTAGTCATTCTCAATTCCATTTCTTTCAAGATAGTATTCATTCTTTTCTCAGGGTAAAAAATGTGGTACTTAATGAACCATTGCCTTAGACAAGAAAGGGCAAGAAAAATCCTTTTGTAATTTGTAATCTTTTGGGGATATTTCTTTCTTTTTTTTTTAACTAGTTCTATAACATAAGAGATCATTTGGCTTGCAAATTTTATACCTGTAAAATTAAGTAATGCTTGGGCTTGAGTCTAATTGAGAAAGAGAAACTTTCTCAAATTTTATTAGCTTGAACTTAGATTAACTTTCCTGGTCTACTCCCACTATAACCATCTACAACACTATGACATTGTTAATGAGAGAAGCAATTTGTTTTTGTAACTTTTATCCTGAGAGAGCTGATATTTTAAATAAGCCAGATTCCTTGGTACCCTCTTTCCACATGCTAGACCTCAAAAAATTTAAGTTGTAGATTTTTATGAACCAATTAGGCAAGAAAATTGACATTATTCACCTTTCTCATTTAATCCTTCTTTATGGGGGTTTTAACTGGATCCATGGTCTAGAGGGATACTCGTTTTGTAGAAATATTCTAACTCATGAATTCATGAACTTTTTCTTTAAAGGGCTAGACAGTAAATATTTCAGGCTTTGCAGGCCACACAGTCCCTGTCCTTGCTACTCAACTCTACCATTGCAGTGTGAAAGCGGCCATATACAATATCTAAACAAGTGAGGGTGACTGTGTTCCAATAAAACTTTATTTACCAAAAATAAAAAATAAAAAAAGGCACTGGGTTGGATTTGGTCTATGAGCCACAGTTTGCTAAACCCTACTTTAACTCAATTAACTGGAAAGAAAAGAATCACAGGAAATTGTTCATGGGATATATGACTATTCAGATATATGAATATCTCTTTTCAAAAGAGTCTGGAATAGATTTGAAGTTTTCAGAGTTCATTTTCAACATTTTAAAAACTTAGACTAATTTTGTGTAATTCTAAATATACTACAAAAAAGCCATTGCCTATCTACCATTTTTCAAATTGATATTTATTACAAAAAGCTGATAGAAAATAGTGAATATTGGGGAATATTTATTCAAAATTTTACTTTGTAACTCAAATTTATTTCTTTTTCATGTCTCATAGTACAGAAGGAATTTTTATTATGTGAGAAAAAAAGCATTGGGGCTTTTTTATTTAGTTTTTCATTGTGGTAAAATACACATAAATTTATCATCTTACCCATTTATAAGTGTACAGTTTAGTGATATTAAATACAATCATAATGCTATACAACCATAACCACCATTCATCTCCATAACTCTTTTTATCTTGTAAAACTGAAACTTGGTACCCAGTAAACAGTAACTCCCCCCCACTCCCCTCAACCTCTGGCAACCACTATTCTACTTTCTTTTTTTTTTTTTTTTTTCCTTTTTGTCTTTTTTCATGACTGGCAATGGATCGCAACCCTCAGTGTTGCGCCCGTACCGGACTGGGACTGGCAACGGGATTGCAACCCTCGGTGTTGCGCCCGCACCTCGCTCAGCCAGTGAGCGGCCAGTTTGTATGTGGGATCCGAACCCTCGGCAGGAGCGCTGCCGCACTCCCAAGCGGCACACTGTAGCAGTGTGCCACCGGGCCGGCCCAACCACTATTCTACTTTCTGTCTTTATGATTTGACTAGTCTAACTACTTAACATAAGTGGAATCATACAGTGTTTGTCTTTTTGTGACTGGTTTATTCCATTTAGTATAATGTCCTCGAGATTCATTCGTGTTGTAGCATATATCAGAATTTCCTTCCTTTTTAAGGCTGAATAGTATTTCGTTGTACATATATCCCACATTTTGCTTATTCATTTGTCTGTTGATGGACATTTAGGTTGCCCCTACACTTTAGCTATTGTGAATATTGCTGCTATGAGCATGGGTATACAAATATTTCTTTGAAACTCTGCTTTCGGTTCTTTAGTTATTTGTTTGATTTAGATGAAGCCATGAGCTTTGTGGACTTTCTGTATCACTCAACCAGATGGAAAGAATGATTGTAAGAAAAGTTCAGTAGGCTAGTTTGATTGTCCAAATTTTAGAAGGCACATTTTAAAATGAGGAATACTAGAATTTAGCTATGGTAACCTGCAGTGTTGTATAGATTTCATCTTTATAGCCAAAGAGCCACATAGAATTTTTATGTTATTTTATCAAGAACTTAAAGTCTAACCAAAGGGCCATTTTTCTTCTCCAACCCCCTCAAAACCTCCCAAGTCTTAACTGCAATTACTTAAACTAGTTCTGATCAAGACTAACACAATTAAGAACGGTAAGTAAAAGCTTGTACATTAGTTACCTTTCAAACCTCATGGCACATAGATTTTCAGTTTTTCCTGTTTTCTAATGTATACAATAAGGGAGAGTAATTCTTTGTAGGGCGTTGCACCCTATTAATAGGTGGAATTATATTGTTTTCTGTCACAGAATCTACTTATTATTAAATAAGAATTGTCAAAATAATGTTTAAAGTTAGCACTTTTAAACCCACTTATAATTTTTCTGGTTTTGTGCTAGTAATATTTTCTTTCCTATTAAACTGATTAGAATAAGAAAAGACAGTTTTATGATCTATACACTAAAGGATTAAAATTCATGTCATTCATATCCAAATATTATTTGTCTTCACGCCTTAGGTACGGATATGTACTAATAACTCACAGTTTTCAATAATTAATATAATTAACATCAAAATTCATATTTTGGGTCAGTAAGTATTGTTTTCAATGTTAATTTCTTGAGTTTTCTTATTTAATACTTAGTTTAGTAAGTAAAAACTTACATAAATTTAAAATGTTATTTTATAGATTTCTGAAACATGGCAATTTGTTTACTGAGATTAAAACTTTAAATAAAGAGATTTTTTTTCCCCCTTTTTTTGTCTTTTTTACTGACTGGTAATGGGATGGCAACCCTCGGTGTCGCGCCTGTACCGGGGACCGGCAACGGGATCGCAACCCTCGGATAAAATGTTATTTTATAGATTTCTGAAACATGGCAATTTGTTTACTGAGATTAAAACTTTAAATAAAGAGATTTTTTTTTCCCCCTTTTTTTGTCTTTTTTACTGACTGGTAACGGGATGGCAACCCTCGGTGTCGCGCCTGTACCGGGGACCGGCAACGGGATCGCAACCCTCGGTATTGCGCCCACACCGCGCTCAGCCAGTGAGCGGGAACCGGTCTCCACATGGGATCCGAACCCTCGGCGGGAGCGCCGCCGCGCTCCCAAGCAGCGCACTCTCCAGTGCGCCACCGGGCGGGCCCAGAGAGATTATTTTTTTAAAAATAAAAGCATGTGCTTCTACCCTTATGATATAACTTGAATTACAAAGGACTTTTATTTCTTTGCATTTTTGAATTGTGTAATAGATTTTTTAAAAATTATTAGCCTTTTGCCAAGTTAATGAGGTATATGTGCATTTACATATCTGCTAATTTTTAGAAACTGTATAGATTAGATTCCTTACTACTATTTTGGCTTCTTTTGATAGTGAGAGTAATTGGAATTAATCATTGTTTTGGTTGGGGTGTGGTATACATATATTTGATAGAACTGGAAGAACAGACTCGAAAAGCTCTAGAACTGGATCAGGAACGAAAACGAGCAAAAGAAGAAGCAGAACGGCTTGAAAAGGAGCGTCGAGCTGCTGAAGAGGCCAAGTCTGCTATAGCAAAACAAGCTGCTGACCAGATGAAGAATCAGGAACAGCTAGTAAGGAACTGTCTTAGATCTATCAGAGGGGAAAAAAAAAATGTTAAATAAAAGCATGGAGTGAACTTTCTACATCTATTATACCTGTTGGAAAGCAAACCAAACAAGTAACTTAATAATAATGTGGAAATAAACCTAAATATTTTATTATCTGTCTAAAAGAAAACCCTAAAAATAAAACAGAATAAAAGACATTTTTCTATAGTTTATTTGTAAATGAAGACTGTTGCCAACAAAAGATTCTAATTCACTTTGACTTTGGACAGGTTCTGCAATAAGTCAACTGGGCATCTTTTGCTTTAGATAAATTGGCACGATATGTTCTAGTTCTTATAAATATAGACCATAATTGGTTAAGTTTTGTGTTTATTTAGTGAACTTGCAAATAATGAGTAGGCAAGATTCTGGATTTAAGTATTCAGGCATTTACTTGCTTTGCGTTTGAGTCTTTTTGAACTTTAGTTCTCTCTCTTCGAAAAGAATACTACCTAATAGGATTGTTGGGGAATTAAATGAGATTATTTGACAAAGTACTCTTTAAAGTATCATATAAATATAATTTTTTATTTTGTAGATCTTAACGAATAGTTTGTTTATTGATAAAGGTTAAAAAAAAATAGTATCTGAGTTACACATTTAAGTTCCTATTACTGTAACGGAATTAACTACTAGTTTATAAAATAATAAAAATCTTTTTACTTTGTCTTCTTATTAGCTCATTACTTCAAGGACCTACTATATCTTTTCTTTTTTGAACCCTGGACCTTGGTGTTATCGGCACCATGCTCTTACCAACTGAGCTAACTGGCCAGCTGAGGACCTACCATTAATAAATAAGCTGTTTAAGATCTTAAAGAATATTGCCTCTATGTTTTTTTAATGGAAGGCCATCTAAGAAAAACATGTAAAACAGCTCAAGCACGTATATTAAAGCTCTGTTGACTTAACATATCATAAGATTATTCAGAATATATTAAGTTTATATAGTCTTGGTAATTATATTGTTTATTTTAGGCAGCAGAACTCGCCGAATTCACTGCCAAGATTGCACTTCTAGAAGAAGCCAAGAAGAAAAAGGAAGAGGAAGCTACTGAGTGGCAACACAAAGTAATCATTTGTTTGTTCATTTACTATCTTTCATTGAATAGCTATTTTGCCCCAGCAGTATGCCTAGCAGTGTGCTGACTTTATAGAGATGAATATAAGGTACTGTCATAATTTAGGGGGGAAAAGATACGTGTGTGTGTATGTGTGTGTGTGTGTTGGAGTAAATATTAATCTATTGATGTACGCTAAGTACTTTGGTAACATAAAGGGAGGTGATTAATTTCTATGGGAACAAGATAGGTATGTGGGAAACATATACATTTAAGCTGAGTCTTAAGTAATAAATTAGATTTGGGGTATAGAAAAGATTGGGAGTGGTTGGGAACTGAAAAGGTAGTCATTCCAAACAGAGGGAACTGGATGAGTATAGGAAGTATGAACGTACATGACAGATTTGAGGACAACGAGTAAGTGACCAGTGCTTAGAGTATAGGTTCAGAAATGTTGGGAGCTATGGCTGGCAAGTTAGATGATAGGGAATTAAATTGTGAAAGGCTTTAAATAAATGTCCCTCTAAGGTAAGGCAGTGAGGAATATCTGTAGACATTGGGCTCTGAAAATTTTAAAACAGGATTGTAATATGATCAGGTATGATTTTATAAAAATAACTTAGAAATCAGTGTGAAAGATTGATTACAATAGTGGATACTTTAAGAGATAAAAATCCAAACTATGGATGTGGCAATAAGAATAGTGGGAAGAGTTAAAAGACATTTTATGATAGACTCAAAAGGGCATGATGGTAAAAAATCAGTGACTGGATATGAAGTTGAATTAGAGGTATGCAGTGAGGATGATACTGAGATTTCTAATAAGAGCACCTAAGTAGATGAAACATCCATCATTTGTCTAAAGTAGCACACAACTATAAAATCAGGCTTTAGTTGCAGAAGTGGGGAATATAAAGTAACAAGAGTTTAATTCAAACATTAAATGACATTAACTCTTAAACAAAACTATAATAATTTTTTAATACCAAAAGAGGATGTATAGTTATATATGATTATTTTTCTATAATAAAATGTACTATTATAGAAAATGGTTTTCTGTCACTCTTAGGTAAATTTTCTTTGTAGCAGCTTAAATTTCATTGGAAAGTTTTTCATATATTGAAAATTATGTGTTTAGATAGGAGGGTACTTCAAAAAGTTCATGGAAAAATAGAATTAAAAGATAATACAAATCTTCCCATGAACTTTTTGAAGCACCTCATATATATATGTATATATACATAAAATACTACAAAAGAAATAAAACTTTGTTGATCTCCTTGTTAAACTACTTTCATTGTATAATTTTACAGATCCCTTTTAGAGATGATTAATAAACTTGAGACACATAAACTTTAAAAAATAACATTACAGATGCAAATCCTGTGAATTGTAGAAAATTAGGGAATGCACACAAAAGAAAATTAATCTCACAAACTAGGGTCACCACTATGAAACCTTAGTGCCTATCCTTTTGGGATCTTACTGTTTGTGTGTGTGTGTATATATATATTTATGTATTTAAAATGAGATCTTACTGTACATACTACTCTGTTTAGTGAATTTTCATCTCATTTAATGTTAGACCATATTCAAAATTTCTCAATTTACCCAAAAAGTCTTTTAAAGCTAATTTGCCAGGATAGTGTTCAAAGTATGACTTCGCATTGCATCTGTTTAATCTGAGTCTTTTAATGTAAGGATTTATTGAAGGGACCCACAGAATTTCCCTCCTCTTGTATTTCTCTTGTTGCTTCTTCATGGTATCCTTTTATCACCTATATTCCCTGTAAACAAAGTTAGACCTAGAACTTTGAGGAATTCAAATTAAAAGTTTTTGACTATTCTGTATCATAGGAGAGACTTACATATAAATTTATCATCCAAACTAGAGTGCTTATGAGTATAAAAGAGGGTGGTCTTAATATTTACACAAGGACAACAGTACTTTTCCTGGCAAACCAGGATGATATGATCACCCAAATAATTGGTGATATATCAGAAGACACTTAATATCTAATTATCCCACCATTAGTGATTTTAATTCATCACTGGATTAGAGTAATGACAGTCTAATATCTCCATTGTATGGTTACATTTTTCACCTTGTGGCTCCAATGTAATCTATCAGGTGTGGCATTCTTTGGCATTCTATGAATATTTCATCTTTCGTCAATTGTTGCCATAACAGTTTTAGCAACAATTGGTGATCTTTGCCAGAATTAATAATTTGATCAGGGTTTGCAAAGTGGTGTTTTAAAAATTTTATCTTTTTTGCCTGCTGGCACTCTTCTATAAAAATAGAGCTTTCATTGATAGGGCCTATTTGCATTACCCTGAAATGTAGTTTCTTTTAGAAAGGCAGGACAACTTGATTCTTTCAATTACCAATTTTTAGAGTAAGTTACTCATAAACTTATATTTAATGTTCAGGCTTTTGCAGCCCAGGAAGACTTGGAAAAGACCAAAGAAGAGTTAAAAACTGTGATGTCTGCCCCCCCTCCACCTCCTCCACCACCAGTCATTCCTCCAACAGAAAATGAACATGATGAACACGATGAGAATAATGCTGAGGCTAGTGCCGAATTATCAAATGAAGGGGTAATGAACCATAGAAGTGAGGAAGAGCGTGTAACAGAAACACAGAAAAATGAGCGTGTTAAGAAGCAACTTCAGGTATTTAAAATTTGCAGTTGTATGTACATTTAAAATATAGTTTGCATTTTCCTCATCCAAGGCTAATTCCTTGTAAAGAATATATGACTTTTAGAAGCCTTTAACACTGGCTGGCATAGCAGTTGGTTTGTGAGTGTTTGGTTTACAGTCACTTTATTTCTTTCATTGTATGACCCCATTAACAAATGTTTGTTAGCTTTGTGTAATCAGTCTTTAATGAGTTATTTAATTATAGCTTGACCTATTTTAAAAGATAGAAAGTACTATAATGCTGTTTTTAAAAAACAAATGAATTTAGTTTTTAAGCAATAAAGTGTACATTCAAAAGCAGTGATATTTAATAGACTAACATGTTAGTTACATAATCTGTTATTTGTTCAGATTTTATAATAGCAAAAAGCCAGTTTATTAAATGTACATAATTAGATTGAAATAGGAAATTTTAATATTAGAGCTTTCTTTTTTTCAGATAAGTTCTCTAATTTTTTAATTGGTAAAATCTTTAATTTTTTTTTTTTTTTTGTCTTGTTCATGACCGGTAAGGGAATCGCAACCCTTGGCTTGGTGTCGCCTGCACCGCGCTCAGCCAGTGAGCGCACCAGCCATTCCTATATAGGATCCAAACCCGCGGCGGGAGCATCTCTGCGCTCCCAGCACCGCACTCTCCCGAGTGTGCCACGGGGCCGTCCCAAAATCTTTAAATATTAAAAAAGAAAATGAGATAAGACTTCTGGAGAAATCTCTTACAGTGTAGATTTTAGATCATACAACATTACTCTATAATGGCTACATTGCAAGTCATTTCAAGTATTGGATGTGAAAGTTAAGGAAATTTAGAATAATAAACAAAATATCATGGTTAATGAGTGTAGAAATGAAAGGCCATGGATATTCCTCCCTAACCACAACTATCACTATTCCTAAAAGTAAAACAACCTTACTCACTTATAAGAAAAAGACTTCACAGTGGAAATTTTAATATATTAAAAAGTCAGAGATTTGGTATATATGTATTTTTCATCTTTAAACCATTTTCATAAATTTTTTAAATGTAAGAAAAAAATAATAGTAGTACTTTTTATTTTTTAAATATAGGCATTAAGTTCGGAGTTAGCCCAAGCCAGAGATGAAACCAAGAAAACACAAAATGATGTTCTTCATGCTGAGAATGTTAAAGCAGGCCGTGATAAGTACAAGACTCTGCGACAAATTCGACAAGGCAATACAAAGCAGCGTATTGATGAGTTTGAAGCAATGTGAGAGCTGTTATTTTGCATACGTGTTCTTCATAAGCTGAACCACCAACAGAGAAAAGCAGGCCTATGCAGATGTGATGGAATGCATCCCACCTTGCCAAAGCACTTATACCAGTTTGACTGTGGTGGCTAAAAGACAAATTTAAGGGGAGCTCTTCAACATTAAGGCAGTGTAATGTCATGCTTGATTTTCTTTTTCTTTTGGGCGAGGGTATGGAGAATGGTGTTCCATCACCTCTTTTCACTTTTTTCATTTTTCATTTTTTTTTTTTCTGTTGAAGATTAACACTAATTATGTTTGACAAATGCGTATGTGTGGTCTGAGCACTTTGTAAATTTTAAAGGATAATGGTGAACGTTTTGAGTGTTTAGATAGAGCATTCTGTTTTCTCTTGCCCCTTCCATATTTAACCTGCTTATATTTCCACATTCTGTCTCACTCACATTTCTATGTGCCCTTCTCATATCCTGCCATGCCTATAGCATAATTCTGCCACCATACAGATCAGGCAGTATTTCAAATGGTAGTAGGTAGCAGGGTGGACACTCTCTGTGCATTGTGTAGAAGATGGCTATGAATCATGAAAAGGATTAGAATGTTTAATAGTGTAGTGTGCAGCTGATGGATAATTTTTCTTAATTCCAGTTAATTACATTTTTGGGTATTGGTTATTTGCTTACTTAATTATGGTCATCTTTGACAACTGAATTGATTGGTTTTTCATCTTCTATAATCTTCTGATGGTTTTCTTTGCCGGCCAGTTCACAGAGGTGTACACAGCAGGTAGTAAGTAGTTCCCTAGGCGAGTTTATTGATGAAACACTACCTGCAAATAAGTTGTCTCTGAAAGATTTGAAAAGTCTTGTTCTTTTGTAGATTGGTTTAAAAAAATAGATATCTAATAAAAGAAAATAAACATTTGTTGGTAATTATAATCATTAAAAAAACAAAACAAAACCGGGATCTTTGTGGAAGGGCAGCATATGAAAACATCAGTCCTAAAAAGGGGACAGTAATACTACCTCATTACTACACCTGCGATAACTGGTTGGTCAAACACAATGGAGTGTGTAAGCTATATGTTTTATAATACATAGTGATAGTCTCAATCATGAAGGGATACTCTTGAAATTTCATTTTCCTTCAGAATATCTTAGAGTGCTAAATATTTAACTGCCTTTTTGTTGAGTTGAACTGTGGGATTCTAATTTGTATTAAAATTGTAAGCTCTCATTGGTATACTAAGGGTGTTTTATGTCTGAGGAAGTGTGTGTGTGTGTGCGTGCGTGCGCGTGTGTGTGTGTGAGAGAGAGAGAGAAACAGAAAGAGATGTTACCCTTGTAGAATATGAAGAATGTCTGTACATCGTGTGTGTGTGAGAGAGAGAGAGAGAGAAACAGAAAGAGATGTTACCCTTGTAGAATATGAAGAATGTCTGTACATTCATTTCTTGATATGATGGTTACATAATCATTTTAGCATATTTGGTTTCTAAATCACTGTGCTTATTTTTTTTTCAATCTCTAAAAAATACTTAATTTGGTTTGTTCATCCTATCTTAGACATTATAATATTAGGGTTATATTAATTTCAGTTGTTTTACCGAAGAATCTTCCCAGTAAGAAAGATGTTCTAATATTATATATTCTAATATTTTCTTTATTGTAAAACACCTAGATTTGAAGATACAGAAAAGCCTTGTTTTCTCTGTGTGGTTCAGCTACTTTCCATTTGGTATTACGCACTCAAATTTACATTTGTCAATTAAAATTGCCATTTTATTAAACATTTTTCATGCACAGTAGATTCAAATTGTGTCTGAAAATATCTCTTGTGCTTTTTTGATTTTGCTGACTTTAAAAGGATTAATCTGGGCAGACATTACAAAAAGGAAAAGTTGTGTTTAATATATTTTTTGGACTTTGTAGGATAAAAGATAACTGGTTAACCTTGAAGTAACTGTTGTACAGTGGTTGTGCACATGGCTCAAAATCCTATGGAAGAGAATATTTCTACTTGCAGTACATCAGAGGAATAAGTGGTGGACCCTATGATTCAAGCTTTGAAACAGAAGTGTTCATATTTCTAAAGTATTAAATTGCCGTAATAGGTGAAAACCTGGACTTCTACTGGATTTTTATTAATTTTACTCATTTTGAATTGTGTGCACTACCATTGTTACATCAGTTTGATACAGTGTTGAAAATTACCAGTTATATTTGCTGTTTATAATCTATTTGTAGATTAGGATTAAAATGGATTTAATCCATTTTTAAAACGGTGTGAATTTTTCTAAACAGGAACAACCATTTACAATATGGTTCTCATAGTGATTAAACCAATTATAACTTTTATCATTAGCAGTTGAGAGCACATGTTCATATAGCAATGTAAAAATACACTAATGAATATTTGGTAAATTCCAATAGACTTTTTACCATTAGCGTAATTTTGTGTTGTACAATTAAGTTACAATTACATCTCTAATTTTGGATAATATTCATTGGTTAACAATAAAGTGATGAAAGATCATGCCTTCAAGGTCCACTGTTGTTATTTAACATGGATTTCTTATATATTTCCTGAAAATTATAATCTGTGTCAGAACCATGAATCATCACATCTTAAAAATGAGAAGTGGATAGGAAGAAACTTTAAATCTCATAGATTTACTCTCCCCCTACCCCCATTTTACCTCTTTTCGTATGGAAGTAATATTGATTAATTCTGTGGAAAAACTAAATCATTAAATTACATTGATTCTCTAGACAACAGAAAGTAATTTAGGATTTCCAGTCATTGTTTTTATTATATAATATTTAGTTTCTTTTTCCTGAGGAAGATAGCAACTTCGTTGTTGTTGATTCATCTCATTATTAAAATTCTAATATTCTTTAAAAAACTCTATGCTAAGTGCATTTATTTAAATACATATTCTTATTTTAAAGCTATATTACAGAGCAGTTACCATAAGCCTAGGAGATAATTGCCTTTTTAAAAGCTTTTTAGTAATTTTTAACATAAGATTTTTAAATAAACAAGTGTTAATGCTGTTCTAAAAATAGTAAAAGCCAGGCGCCTTCCCAGTTTATATTTAACTGTCACTTTATCACTTCTGTTCTCAAGGGCAGGTAGTAATTTTTTTATTCTGATCCTGTCAGAAAAGAAAATGAAATTTTATCTCATAGTATTTTGCTTTATATCTAATTAGAGTTTTCCTTTAAGAACTAGAATCAGAGACTTTATTGGAACTTACTCTTATCATTAGAAAATGGATTCAGTATTAGTGTTGTGATTAAAAAAATTGTCACCACGTCCTGTCCCAATTTTGATCACCTTGTTGATTGGTGATGTTTTTAGAAATAAAGATGGTAAATTAAACTTTTTTAATCCAAAGCATCCCATTCTGTGTATGCACAATGAAAACAATTAGGCTTTTTAAAAGGTAAAGCTTGAAACTAAAGTATAAGGAATTACTAACTTTAGCATTAATTTACTGAATGATTACTAAACCAAAGCTTACACATTGTTAATAAGAATAAAGGAAAACATTTAAATGCAAAGCTACACAGGTTCCTCTTGTTTGATCTAAATGAACAGAACATTAGCATTTTCTTATTTTGTACCTTCATTCTTTTTTTAGCTAGAAAGTAATCTACGTATCAAATATTCTAATGTGGTCTATTATGTAGACTGACAATATTCCAGCACATTTCAAAAGTTCAGTGGATTCTGCAGATTCATAAAATGTCTACACAATCACATTCTACACTGGTCGTTAGGAACAATTGGCTCACAACAGTGTTCCGTATGTCAAAGCTTACCACATTGTCATCCTGGCTTTTCCGATTAAGTAATTCTAATTCCCACTTTTTTCCTTAGTAGGCCTACTACTTAATTTGCTCATCTTTCAAGATTTTAAGAGCTGCCATTTTCCCAGTGGAAAGATCATAACTCCCTGTTTTGTCTCCTGAATACTAGTGACCTCCTTTAAACTCTGGAATATAAGAGTTTTCTGATTTGGAGTTGTACCAAGGGTACTTCAAAGAGTTTATGGAAAGCTTCATATTATCTTTCAATTCTATTTTTCTATGAACTTCTGTGTTTTTTTGTTTTTTTCTTTTTGCAGCTGGCTTTTAAGGGGATCCCAGCCCTTTGACCTTGTTACCAGCACCATGCTCTGAGTGTACATGAACTTTTTGATGTACCCTTGTATATACTGTTTTAGGAGTTGAAATTTCCATCATTTCCCACAGAATTTTAACCTTAATGATCATGACTAAGATAACTACCCCATAGCACACATCCTTTGAATTCAGTTTTATGTTTTGGCTCTGGAGTTCCCTAGCTACTCGGTGGTTCCATGTTCTTATTTAATGACATTCATTTAGCCAATATGTGTTTATTAAGTACCTATATTCAAGTACTTAGAAGTAAGATTAGAATGACTGTGACCCTTTGTTTTGGCCTATCTTAAAATATGTAACTTCAAATATTAATTTCACTAGTGTTAGATCATTTGCATTTATCTATTACAATATCAGATTTCTTTAAAATGACAATGTCATATTGTTGATTCATGTTATTTGGATGCCCAGATTCCTCCATGCTTATAGCTAGTCAGTTGTTTCCATTCGTGCAATTTATTTTTTTACAGGTTCCTCTTGTTTGATCTAAATGAACAGAACATTAGCATTTTCTTATTTTGTACCTTCATTCTTTTTTTTTTAGCTAGAAAGTAATCTACGTATCAAATATTCTAATGTGGTCTATTATGTAGACTGACAATATTCCAGCACATTTCAAAAGTTCAGTGGATTCTGCAGATTCATAAAATGTCTACACAATCACATTCTACACTGGTCGTTAGGAACAATTGGCTCACAACAGTGTTCCGTATGTCAAAGCTTACCACATTGTCATCCTGGCTTTTCCGATTAAGTAATTCTAATTCCCACTTTTTTCCTTAGTAGGCCTACTACTTAATTTGCTCATCTTTCAAGATTTTAAGAGCTGCCATTTTCCCAGTGGAAAGATCATAACTCCCTGTTTTGTCTCCTGAATACTAGTGACCTCCTTTAAACTCTGGAATATAAGAGTTTTCTGATTTGGAGTTGTACCAAGGGTACTTCAAAGAGTTTATGGAAAGCTTCATATTATCTTTCAATTCTATTTTTCTATGAACTTCTGTGTTTTTTTGTTTTTTTCTTTTTGCAGCTGGCTTTTAAGGGGATCCCAGCCCTTTGACCTTGTTACCAGCACCATGCTCTGAGTGTACATGAACTTTTTGATGTACCCTTGTATATACTGTTTTAGGAGTTGAAATTTCCATCATTTCCCACAGAATTTTAACCTTAATGATCATGACTAAGATAACTACCCCATAGCACACATCCTTTGAATTCAGTTTTATGTTTTGGCTCTGGAGTTCCCTAGCTACTCGGTGGTTCCATGTTCTTATTTAATGACATTCATTTAGCCAATATGTGTTTATTAAGTACCTATATTCAAGTACTTAGAAGTAAGATTAGAATGACTGTGACCCTTTGTTTTGGCCTATCTTAAAATATGTAACTTCAAATATTAATTTCACTAGTGTTAGATCATTTGCATTTATCTATTACAATATCAGATTTCTTTAAAATGACAATGTCATATTGTTGATTCATGTTATTTGGATGCCCAGATTCCTCCATGCTTATAGCTAGTCAGTTGTTTCCATTCGTGCAATTTATTTTTTTTATTACCCTATTCTGATTGTTCTTCACTTTTATTTAATGAACATTTAAAAAATTTGGATTCATTTTGATGTTCGTGCATGTTATTTATTATGTTCCTAAAAATCATTATTACCCTATTCTGATTGTTCTTCACTTTTATTTAATGAACACTTAAAAAATTTGGATTCATTTTGATGTTCGTGCATGTTATTTATTATGTTCCTAAAAATCATTTTACTGTTTTTAGTTTTTTATCTTTACTAAATCAATGTAGCCAAAGGTTCATCTTCCTAGTGGTAACATGGGATCAGAATTTGTGAGATTATTTATGTGATTATCCTTGGAAAAGTTCCTTTTGAAAAAACATAGATTTATTATATGAAATTCTTATACTGTGCTGTAATGTATGCCATGATACATACTCCTTTTAGTTTTTTTCAACTTAAATAAGTTATTTTATCTTTTCAACCTAAAAACGTATATATATACCTTAGAATCATAAGGGAATATTTTTCCCTCCCTTTATTTTTATTTATACTGAAAAGTCAATGAAATTCAAGTCTAGCATTTGAATCCTACATGCCATCATTTCATTTATATATTTACTTTTAAATTTTAGCTGTTTTGGCTAAAAGATACTGTTGTGTGATAAAGGAAACTACTACAAAATAAGGAAGATCAATAGCAGGAAAATTAGTGAGTAAGAGAACATAGTACTCAGTATAGGTTTCTCAAGTATGCTTGTTCTCAGATAAATTATTTCATTTTCCTTTCACAGGTCAAATTTTCAACACTGGTTAATAAAGATATCCTACAAGAGACCCTAATTTTAAAAGTTTTTCTAACTTTATAGGAAGACTCGTTTTATACCCAACTGACAAACCAGTAAAGTATAGTAATTGGTAATATCTGTATTAAATATTGAGAAGTTTAATAGGGTTAGTTTCCAGTTGAATCTTAATGGTTTGTTTGTTTTTATTGTGGGAAAATATATATAACATAAATGTTACCATTTTAACCATTTTCAAGTATACAGTTTATAGGTATTAAGTATATCCACATTGTTGTGCAACTATCACCACCAACCATTTTCAGAAGTTTTTCATCATCCCAAACTGAAACTTTGTACCCATTAAACAATAACTCCCCACTACTCCCTCCTCCCTAGTCCCTGACAACTGCCGTACTACTTTCTGTCTCTATGAATTTAATATTTCCAGGTAACTTATAAGCGTAGAAGTAATACAGTATTTGTGCTTTTGTGTCTAGCTTATTTGGCTTATCACAAGGTTCATCCATATTGTAGCATGTATCAGAATTTTATTTTAAGTTTGAATTAACATTCCATTATATGTATATGCCACATTTTGTTTGTTCATTAGTCTGTGGACACTTGGGTTGTTTCTACCTTTTGACTAGTGTGAATAATGCTTCTATGAACATTGATGTATAAATATCTGTTGGATTCCCTGCTTTCAGTTCTTTTGCCTACATACCCAGAAATGGAATCGCTGGATCATATGGTAATTCTGTGTTTAATTTTCTGAGGAACTGCCACACTATCTTCCACAGCAGCTGCATCATTTTACATTCCTACCAGCAATGCACAAGAGTTCTAATTTTTCCACATCCTCACCAACAATTTTTTTTTTCTGTTTATTTGCTTGCTTGTTTTTGATAATAGCCATTCTAACAGGTGAAGTGGTATCTCATTGTGGTTTTCATTTGTATTTCCCTATGGTAACTTTCCCAAATTATAAAAATGTGGGGAATCTTTTTATGTGCTTATTATCCTTTGGTATATCTTCACTGGAG